CTTGTCAAGACTCAAAACCTAAATCCTAGGCCATCATTGCAAGCCGGGAACTTTTTTTTTTGAGTGAATGCCTCCGAAGCTGAAAGCGGCGTTTGTGGGGTTTAGGGTTTAGCGTTTAGGGTTTAGGGTTTGGGGATTAGGGTTTGGGGTTTGCAAGCAGAAGTCACGGGCGATAGCGTATTGCTGCGCGCTGCGCAATAAAGCAAAACCTAACGGCTAAATTAGGGGTTTAATTTCTATGGTTTAGGATTTAGGTTTTAGGATTTAGGGTCTAGGGTTTAGGGTTTAGGGTTTAGGATTATTTCTGGGTTCCATGGAGCCTTAGCGGCTAAAGTTCGGCTGCAGAGTTCGAGGAGTCTGCTTTAGGGTTTAGGGTTTAGGGTTTAGGGTTTGGCTGGGGTGTACTCGGCCTATTCCCTGGCTTGAAATGGGGTCTGGGGTTTAGGGTTTAGGGTTTAGGGTTTAGGGGAGAGGCGATTAAATATTGGAACAGGTTTAGGATTATTTTCGGGTTCCATGGAAGCTTAGCGGCTAAAGTTCGGGTGCAGAGTTCGAGGAGTCTGCTTTAGGGTTTAGGCTTTAGGGTTTAGGGTTTGGCTGGGGTGTACTCGGCCTATTTTCTCCCTGGCTTGAAATGGTGTCTGGGGTTTAGGGTTTAGGGTTTAGGGTTTAGGGGAGAGGCGATTAAATATTGGAACATGAGTGAATGCCTCCGAAGCTGAAAGCGGCGTTTGTGGGGTTTAGGGTTTAGCGTTTAGGGTTTAGGGTTTGGGGATTAGGGTTTGGGGTTTGCAAGCAGAAGTCACGGGCGATAGCGTATTGCTGCGCGCTGCGCAATAAAGCAAAACCTAACGGCTAAATTAGGGGTTTAATTTCTATGGTTTAGGATTTAGGTTTTAGGATTTAGGGTCTAGGGTTTAGGGTTTAGGGTTTAGGATTATTTCTGGGTTCCATGGAGCCTTAGCGGCTAAAGTTCGGCTGCAGAGTTCGAGGAGTCTGCTTTAGGGTTTAGGGTTTAGGGTTTAGGGTTTGGCTGGGGTGTACTCGGCCTATTCCCTGGCTTGAAATGGGGTCTGGGGTTTAGGGTTTAGGGTTTAGGGTTTAGGGGAGAGGCGATTAAATATTGGAACACGAGGCCAGCGCAGGCAGCAGTCCTGCGTACCGCCCCAGACAGGCTTAGGGTTTAGGGTTTAGGGTTTAGGGTTTAGGGCCGTGCAGGGTTTAGCAGGTCCTTCAATTAAATATTGGAACACGAGGCCAGCGCAGGCAGCAGTCCTGCGTACCGCCCCAGACAGGTTTAGGGTTTAGGGTTTAGGGTTTAGGGCCGTGCAGGGTTTAGCAGGTCCTCCATAAATATTCGTGCGGGATAATTGGAAAGGGTTTCTCCGCGAGTTCATAACACGTTTAGGGTTTAGGGTTTAGGGTTTAGTGAGACGTATTGCCCTGGTGTAGGGTTTAGGGTTTAGGGTTTAGGGTTTCCCCAGGAGGTTATGTTCAAGCGAAGGAGCACACCAATGCATTTGAGTGTAGTATCTATACACTGCAAAACCCTGTTATGTTTGTATGCAATAAACCCTAAACCCTAACAAAACCCTAGCTCTCAGGTTTAGGGTTTAGAGAAGCCGTCAGCTGGGGCAGAGTATTCACCGTTAGGGTTTAGGGTTTAGAGTGTTAGAGTTTGAAAGGAAGGCAATTAAACCCCAAAAAAACAGAAAAAGGGTTTAGGGTTTAGCGTCCGACGGAAACCCTAAACCCTAAACCGCTGCTGTGAAGCCCCTGGCCAGGCGGGCAGCAGACCGTTGATGGTAACCCCAAACCCTCAGGTCTAAACCCTAAACCCTCAGCAGAATTTTCATGAACGTAACCGAATAACAAACCGCCCCCTGCAGTTGGACACGAAAGAAAAGGGTTTAGGGCTTAGGGTTTAGGGTTTAGGGTTTAGGTCCGGTCTATGCTAGGCACGAACACGCTGGGGGCATCTTGTGCTGTACACTCATGAGAGTCGTGTGGTAGCTGCATTCTAAACCCTAAACCATAAACCCTAAACCATAAACCCTAAACCCTAAACCCTGATATTTCTTCCCGACTGCACACGCGCTGCAGCAGCAACGCTGCCCACTGGTGCTGCCGTTGCTACAGCAGCAGCAGCAGCAACAGCAGCAGCAGCAGCATAGCTGCAGCAGCACAGAAGCAACAATAAACAAAACAGGAGTTAAAACACCAGCAAACACAACATAGAAGGCTGCATTAGCAGCCGTAGCAGCAGCAAACCGCAGCAGCAGCAGCGCTCTTGTCGGCAGCAGCAATAGCAGCAGCAGCAACAGCAGCAGCAGTAACAGCAGCAGCAGCAACGGCAGCAGCAGCAACAACGGCAGCGCGACGAGCAGCAGCAACAGCAGCGCGACGAGCAGCAAAAACGGCAGCGCGACGAGCAGCAAACACCGCACAGCGACGAGCAGCAGCAGCAGCAGCAGCAACAACAGCAGCAGCAGCAGCAGCAGCAACAGCAGTAGGACACCCTTTCAGGATGCACGACAGGGAACAGCAGTGGCAGCAGCAGCTGCAGCTGCAGCGGCAGGCAAAGCAACAAGAGCAGCCGCAGCACCGCAACGATGAGCACCAGCAGGAGCAGCAGCAACAGGAGACACAGCAGCAGCAGCAGCGACAGCAGCAGCAGCAGCAACAACAACAACAGCAGCGCCATGGGTGTGTGTCTCTTCAACTGAGTTCACTTACTTACAGGCAGCAGGAAGAATGGATGCAGCAGGACTGGCTGCATCCGCAGCAGCAGCGCCAGCAGCAGCAGCTGCAGCAGCAGCAGCTGCAGGAGCAGCAGCAAGAGCTGCAACACCACCAGGGGACAGATGCAGCAGCAGGGGGCCCCTCGTTGAGGGCTCGCCTTCCTTGGGCTGCAGCAAACAGTCGGGGGTGGGAGGCAATCGAAGTAAGAACCAAGGGTTGTTGTTGCTGCTGCTGCTGCTTCTGTTACTGTTGCTGCTGCTGTTACTGTTACTGCCGTTGCTGCTGCTGCTGCTGCTGCTGCTGCTGTTGCTGTTGCTGCTGCAGCAGAGTGGGCGCGTTGTTATTGTCGTTGCAACTCCTGTTGCTGCTGCCTCAGCACCCGAATCTTTTTTGTGTCTTCGAAGCTGTTGCTGCTGCTGCTGCTGCTGCCGCTAATACTGCTGCTGCTTCTCTTGCTGCTGCTGCTGCTGCTGTTGCTGCTGCAGGTTGTAGGCAGCTTGCGTCCAGAGCGGCGCAGCGGTGCTGCCTCGTGTGTATATAAGAACAGCCTCTTCGTGTTTGGGGGTTATGGGGGTTTATCTCGCCTAGGCAATCTCTTCAAGTTTGATTTTTGTAAACCCTAAACCCTAATAAACCCTAATAAACCCTTCTGAACCCTACTAAACCCTACTAAGCCCTAAACCCTGCTAAACCCGCTAAACCCTAAACCCTAAACCCTGAAGCGTCGCGGCTAGTACAAGTTTTGCCAGAGGGTAGACAACAGCTCCCTACGAAGGCTTCGAACTCAGGTTGTTGCGCATCTAGGGTTTAGGGTTTAGGGTTTAGGGTTTGTGTTGCTGAGGCATTTAATCTCCAAACCCTTAACATGACCGGCATGGCGTTGTGTGACGGTTTGTGGTGTTGCATTTTGTGGTTTAAGCCCATGCACCGAGGGTTTTGCGTTTAGGGTTTAGGGTTTAAGGTTTAGGGTTTAGGGTTTAGGGTTTAGGGTTTGCGCAGGCACGTCACGGTGGAGGGAGATAAAGGCCCCTGGATGCCCCAGCCCTCGCGAAAGCAACGGGGCAGTGGTTTTAGGCGAGAAGATGTTTGTCTTTGGGGGTTATTCAGGAACGCACTGGCTCAACGACTTGCATGCCTTTGATCTAGGTTAGGGTTTAGGGTTTATAGTTTAGGGTTTAGGGTTTAGGGTTTAGAGTTCAGGGTTTAGGGTTTAGGGTCTGGGGTTTAGGGTTTAGGGCATAGGGTTTAGGATTTATGGTGTAGGGTGTAGGGTTTAGGGTTTAGGGTTTAGGGTTGGGTAGGGGCGGGGAAGTATCAGGGATTACGAGGACAGTTTATTGCGAAACTGTAGCTATGGGGGCTTATTGATAGGGTTTAGGCTTTAGGGTTTAGGGTTTAGGAGGGTCCAGCTAGGGGTTGGTCTCTAGGGTTTGGTCTTGTACTGTAGGATTCCGTAGCATAGTTTAGTACCAGGGTATAGTGTTAAGGGTTTAGGCGTAGGGTTCAGGCTTAGGGTTTAGGGTTTAGGGTTTAGGGTTTGGGCTGTTGCGTTGCAGAGAAGGAGGAGTGGACAGAAGTTGCCCATTGGGGCATGAAGCCATCTCCGCGG